ACAGGCTGCAGTGCCTCCTGAACCCGCGATGCTCCTCCGCCCGCCAAGACATCCACAGTCCTCCAGACACACAGGGAGGCCAATGCAGGCGCCCAGATCCGTCCAGCCCCTCCTCTGCACACCGATGGCTAGGCGCGGCAGTCCCAAACAGGCTGGGCTCCAGGGATAGTGTGGGCCTGCCCACTCGTTGGAAGCTCAGCAGTTTTCCAAGTGCAGACGGGATGGGGAGGCGGATGTAAAGGCCTCAAACCCACTTCTCCACTTCACTGCACCCGAAACCCTGGAGGGTCCCAAACAGTCTGGAATTTGGGCAGAATTCGCTGAGCACTCACCACTGGCCGCGGTGCCTCAGGAACCTGCGATCCCTCCCTGCTTGCTGAGATATCCACAGTCCTCCAGACACAAGGGGAGGCTGATGTAGGCGCCCCAGATCCGCCCAGCCCCTCCTGTGCCCTTGATTTAGTATTTATTCTTTCAGTTTTTGTTTTCCATGCTGCCTTTCCTTAGATTTTGATATGTAATTAGTTGACTTCATTTTAGCATAGTATTTAAAAAGAATTCATTTGTACTGATTGGGTTTATGAAGAGAATTTTTTATTTAACTGATTTGGTGAAGTAGTTAAACTCATAATAGCCCTTTTTTATTTCTTAGCTTAAAAAAAAGCCTACTAATAACAAGTGAGACTGAAATGCAGGAAATGTGTATGTTTCTTAGCGAGTGTGCTTTCAAGGGAGATTACTGTAGCCTTTCTGTGGCTTGCCTTTCTTACATTTAGACATTCATCACTAAAGATAGACACACCCTTCAGTCAGTGATGAACAGCATGCATGACAGTCAGTAGGACACACATCCCAGGAGTGTAGTAGGCTGTGCCATTCAGTCCTTTTATGTACACTTTGCGATGTTTACACAATGATAATTGTCTAATAATATCTTTCTGAGACAGTGTCCCCATTTGTAAGTGATGCACAGCTGAATTTGAATTAAGCGAAAGCACCTACAACGTGGCCTTAAGATGACCACAACTAAAATCAAAGCACAAACACTTTAGAATACTTGTTGAGTTTCACAGATTTGCACTTAAAACTATAGAGAGTTGGTAGTGGTGATCCACGCATTTCATAAATTAGATAAAAGAAGAGTAGTCTTTGCATCCAATGATTTTAATTGTTTATTTGTTAATTCTCCTAAAGGCTTTGTTAAAAATAGTGGTTGATTAGTGCTGTAAGAGCAAACAAACAAACACCAAACAGCATTTCCACTTTCCTTTGCTTCAATAATATTTTAAAGTACTCTTTTAAAAGTATACCAAGTTTACGTGTCTAGTGTGCATAGCATCTTATGGCCACTTAATCATTTCTTCACTCTCATGTTGTCGCTAACAGTTACTGTAGTGTTGCAGTTAGAACTTGGCTTTAAAAATGATAACAAAGAAGGGAGTCCAATTGTGATCCTGTGTCTGAAGAATTTGAAGCTTCCATTAGCGATCAGTTACGGCAGGAAAGAAAACAGAAATAAAGCTTCTGTCTGTACCAGTTCTGGGCAAGAGCATAACAAAGAAAAGCCTCTAAGAGGCTTGGGAAATGAATGAGAAAATAAAGTGAGAAAAAATGGAAGCACAGTGTAAAGACATGAAGGAGATGAATACAAGAATGCTTACTATGAAACCCAGTGGGAGGCACTGTTAGCTAGAGGGATCAGCAATGTGGCTTGGACTGTGACCCAGGTCGGCTTCCTGTAATGGCACAGGGCCCTGTGCCTTACTGTACCTGTTTGCTCAGAAGGCTTTCTGTAGCTACCGTGATGCTCTTGAATTGCCATTTAAGAAGTTCCTTTCTTTATTTAGCAGAGGGTCTAGCATTTTCATTTTGCTCTAGACTCCATAAATTATGTGTCTGGTCCTGGCTCTGATATGAAATCTGCACACATTTGGGGCAAGTTTCTTCACTGTGCCTGTTTTCTCATCTATGAAGTGAGAATCACAAAAATACCTTGTAGTTGGGTGATGTTGAGGATTAAAGGGAAATAACTGAATTAGTTATGATTTGTGGGTGTCTTTGTAGCCATCTGCATTTCTTACACAGTATATCAGGAGTCTTCAGACTCTTTGATCTCACAACAGATTTAATAATGACTCAGCTTTCACTTACTTGGGCTATGTACATCAATATTTACTGCATTAGAAATTAAAACCAAGAAAAGGTTAAAAGTAGAAGAATGTACAAGCACACTTTCTAGTTTTTCTGAGGGTGATGATAATATCAGATGCACTGGTTTAGTATGAATTTGTTTCTTGCATATGTAGGCTGAACAGTCACATATGTTTAATGAATTCCAGGGATGATATATTCAGCGTGTGACATAAAATGAAAGAAATATACAAAAGCTGAACATAGATGAGGAATCAAACTGTTCTGTCTACTGTTTGACTGATTATTACTGTTTTTGTCCCTGTTAGCATGAAACACAAGATCAGCTACATGTCTGATTTTAGTTTTGGGGTGTGTGTGTGTGTGTGTGTGTGTGTGTATGTAACTGGGCATTCAACCCAGGACCTTAGCACTAAGACATATGTCCTGCCTTTTTTATTGTTTTGAGAAAAGGTATTGCTAAGACACTGTAAATTGTTTAGAGTGGGCTTGACCTGTGATTCTTTTCAGTGTCTCCCTTCCTTGGAGCCAGCTGATTATGGACTGAAACCTCTACAAACTGTGAACTAAATAAACCTTTCCCCCTTTTAATTTTGATAGTCAGATATTTTGCCTCAGCAATGAGAGAAATGTAACTAAGACAGACTTTGGTGTCACAGAAACAGAGTTGTTGCTGTCTGGTCATGTGGCTCAAGAGCTTCTGGAACTAACTTGTGGGAATGGGAAGAGTTAGGCAAGACTTGAAGATTCCAGAGCTGGAATGCCTGTGGTTTACTTAATGGGAGATTCTGGCAGAGCTCTGAAGACCAGAATTCTGATAGAAACGCTGCCAGTAAAGTTGCTCAGGAGGTTTCTGCTGAGGGCTGCATTAGCTACTAGAGTGCAGACAATGTGTTACAGCCTGGGAGAAAGTTTGTCGTCATTTTGCTCATGTCTAGAGACTTAGGCAGACACTAAGATTAAGAATAGTGGACTAATTATGCTCTAGCTTGTGTTTAGATGTCCCTCCAAAGCCTCATGTGGTCACAGGAGTGGCTTTTTGGAAGTGGCTGGATCTAAAGTGTATGGCCCTGGAATGTTTCATGGTACAATGCTAGGATCAAGGTCAGCAGGATTAAGGGTATGATTGCTATCCACCCCTAAATAGTCTGGATCAGATAAAAGGGGTACAAAGACGCTCTAAGATTCCTTGTTGGTTTTGCTGCCTCCCACCAGTCATAAACTGTTGATCCTCTGCCATGTGCCACCTTGTGTTGCAAGCAGCCAATTATGGTCTGAAACTTCTGCAAACTGTGAGCCCAAAGAGCCTCCTTTAACTCTGGGTGTCAAGGTATTTTGTCTAAGCTATTTAGGATTTATCCTGAATTAAGCTTGTAAAATCCAGATGGCATTTTAAAGACTGGGCTAGTTTAAGGAGAAAACTTAGATGTAGCCCTAACTTTATGCTTTTACTGTACTGCGAATTTTCATTGACTGATAGCAACTGCCTAACTTAAACAGTGTTGATGGTGACTTCTTTTCAAAGGATTAAATCTTAGCATGCAAGTAATGAAAGCTTCCACTCTAATACTTTCCTAATCTTAAATTTAAATTCTAGCAATTGGCCAATAATTTGAAATATTCACTATTTCCTAGGAAACACCACAAAGCTCTTTGGAAGCAGCCAGAATTTCATGGTGGCAAAACTGATTAATACAACTAGAAAGGTACTATGTAGTGTTTAACTTGGTCTAAATGTTTATGTATACTTCATAGTACAGCATCAGTTCATGGAACACAATTCAGAAGCTTTAATTCCTAATTTATTGATATCTTACGCTAATAGAATAGCTGGCAATTTAATGAACATAATAGGTACATTGAGAATTTGCTGAGCCAGGGAGCTAACTGGAAAATAGAAATAAGTGTGCATAAAGGATACTGTATTGGCTAAAGGTCTGTGTGATTCTAAATGATCCAGGATTTTTATAGGTGCTCACAAGTTGATCCCAGCCACAGAGTTTGATTCTCTTTTCTATACAGTGCAAGGTATACTAATGACCTTTTTTTTTTTAATGTGGAAAGTGGTTTTTTTGTTGTTGTTTTGTTTTGTTTTGATTTCTGAGGATTGAATCCAGACCCTTGTACATGCTAGGCAATGCTGTACCACAGAGTTACATCCCCAGCCCAAGAGGCAGGCTTGGTTTGAATACCATTATGACACTTAGAAGCTCTGAGACCAGGCACAAGTAATTTGTTCTAGGTGAGATTCATATTCATTACCTTTCAATACCAAAACAAAGTACTGTAAAGTTAAAACTCTATTGTAAGATGTAAACTTTCTTATTAATAATGGTAACGTCATTCCTACTTGTCAACTAAACTGTATGTCTGAAAGGTTCCTTCCCTACCCAGTGTTTGCTGAAATCAGTATAAGAATTTAAAAATAAAAAGCAGTTAATGTAAATAGCCTTTCAAATCTATTACATTAATTATTCATTATTGATACATAAAACCATAAAATATATGCATAGCTCCTTTTGTAGGCTGAGACGGTATTTTCCCCTCCAAGCCTACATACAGTAGGGGAACCAGGAGCCTTGGTAGAGTGTGACCTATTAAAATGTACACAGGTTAGGTGTGGTGGAGCACAACTCTAATCCTAGCACTCGGGAGACTGAGGCAGGAGGATGGAGACTCTTCTCAACAGCTCCCCACCTAAACACCACATTTTGCACATCTGTATATTAGAAATAACAGGTATTTGTCACAAGCTGACAAAAGGCATGTTTTAAAATTCTGTATTTCCACTTTTAGAGCAATTCAACAAAAGCAGTGTCTGAATTTTAAAATTAAGAAAAGATACATACTCATCATGAACAATGGTGGGGCCATCCCGTGTTAAGGCCTCTTCCTTGATGACATTGATCAGTTCAAAGGTACTGCTTATGGGAGCATCTGGGTTAGGCCATTTGGGACACTGAAAGTGCCGGACTTCTAGGACGTAGTCATCCTATAACCAACACAACATCAGTCACGGTGCTTCTTTCATGTCGTATTCTAAGTCAGATGGATGGAACTTGCAATTTAGAAAGTATATATTGCAGACAGCTCTGAACAGTGAGAGGTTAATTAACCAAACCACTGGTGAGAAGAATAATACAAGGGCGGTCTTCCCATCATGAGAAAAATGAGTAGGTCATACTCCTGCAACCATATAAATTACTTTGTCTTTTAAATTATTAATATGAGAGAGTCCTCCTTTATCCTTTTTCACAGAAAGCAGTTAAAGGACATTAAAATATTGTTTATTAAAAATCCTTAATCATCTCTGCAACATATTGCAAAGTTTACATTTCAAATGATAAAGAAAATATCGAGGTGTAATATATTCTTTTTGTAATTAGGTCAACAGACCTATTCATATGCATGTGGAATCAGAGAAACTGTTACCTTGCATCTTGTCAGCTGGAAAAAGCAAATATGGAAGGAAGAGTAAAGGGAAATGTATATTTAAAATGAAATCTTACTCAATTGCCTAAATTCCTTGAGGGTAGTAGGTTAATCCACTGTTACCTAAGAGATGATTCCAAGCGCCTGTATGGCTATTACAGAGCAAGTGAGATTGAGCTCACCTGTGTTGCCTCAAGGATAAAGTCATGGATGATGATTTGTTCTTCATTAGAGAGGCACAGTCTGTCTTTGCTGATGAGGGTGACAGTGAAAGCCTCACAGTTCATGGGTTCTTCTCGACTTGGCCAGTAGACAAACTCATCTTCTGCCTTTGACAATTAAAAAAGTTTTTTTAATTTTCTTGCAAAATGGTTTTTTATTCTGCCATTTTCCATATCTGTTAAGCCATCTTTTAAACAGTTTATAGTTTTATATCCCAAGCTATTTATGCTAAGCTCAGTGGTTTATGTAGAACTATGTTTTCTACATAATGTTTCTTTTCTAGCAGCTTTCATCTGTCATTCTCACAAGTCCAGCACTGGCTCTGTAAAGATGTGTACTGAAAGCTGCTCAGTGTTCCAGATACAATTAGCATACTTAAAAAGGAGATGAGATCTAGGTCAAGTAATTTTATTTCATAGTTGCTTAAGCAATCAAAACATGACTATGCTGTTCCTGTGGAGTATATTCCCAATTCTATAGTGGAATATCTCTTTGCAGAGGACCTTCATAAACATTATCTTCCTGAATATTTATAATACATTAGTCTGAGAAGGATGTTTTAAAAACACACTTGCATAGAAGTTATAGGAAATCATGTTATATGATATACATGCAGGTAGATAGTAGAATGTGCCTTATAATCAAACAAATTAGCAAATGTACTGTGCTACATAGTTTTTGGTGGAAGAGCAAGTAATAATCTTATCTAGCATAAATTCCAAACATTGCATAATTTTATTATCTATGTTCTTTATGTTGTACATTAGTTATCTAGGGTTTTCATTCTATCTGTTACTTTGTATCCTTTCACTTACATCTTCCCATTTCCTTCCCTATCCTGTATCTACCATTTTGTTCTCCCTACACATTTAAACCTATTACTGTTTTTTTTTTATTGGTGAGATCATGTAGTAAGTGTCTAGTGACTGACTTGTTTCACTTACCCTAATGTTCTCCGTGGTCCATCTACTCTGGCAAATACAAGAGTCTATTTTTCCTTAGATCTGGAAAATATACTCTTGTATTTATTTAGTATAGCGTCTTTGCCTGTCTGTCTACAGGCAGACAGGTTGTTTCTATATTTTAGTTATTGTGAATAATGCTACAGTCAGCATGGACATTCAGACAGTCAGATAGCTTTACATGGTGGTGACTTCATTTTACTTGGCTATATATATAATTTTATCTATTTACTTTTTTCATTAGTGTGAGTTGAACCCAGGGCCTTGTGTATGCTAGGCAAGCACTCTGCCAATGAGCTGTATCCCAAGTCCTGGTGGTCCTGGTTTTAATTTCATTAGAGACCACTGTACTCTTTTTTCCATAATGACTGTGGAGTCTACAGTCCCATTTACATTTTGAGAGTTCCTTTTTTCCCACACCTTTACCACCCTTGTCATTTATTTCTCATTTACTCTCAACCTAATATAAAGTGGTAAATCATAGTGATTTTTGATGTGTATATCCCAGATGATTAATTATATTGAGCATCTTTTTTATATATTTGCTGGTCATTTTTATATCTTATTTGCAGATACATCCATTAAGGTCTCTTGCTCATTTCTTATTAGGGATATTCATTTTTCTATTACTGAGTTGTATTATTTCTTTTAAATTTTCAGTTTTAAGTAGGCTTGGTATTCTGAAGGTGGAGCAGAATGTGACAAAGTGAAGAAGTTGGTACTGATGGGGCACATAGTCAAATGCATGTCATTCAGACTAGGGGTTCAATCACATGCTCTTCCTTCTTGATTAAAATACTTACTCTCATACCCATGAAGGCAGATTCTCATTGTTTTTATCTTATGAGCTCACATGTCCATGTAGCTTATTTTCAAGACCCAGATAATTCTGAGATTTAAGGATGCGTGCAATTTACTCAAGCTTATTTCATAAATTTTCCCACAGGTTGCTACATATTTCAGAGACCTCAATAGAGAAGGACTAGGGCAGGAGACAGATAGTTGTGTAGTCAGTCTTGGTGATTCATAGGTTATACCCAAATAGTCTTTCCTATCACTAGCCTGCACTGTGTCTGACTTGCCTATGGAATAGGAAAAAATATAATGAAACATTATTAGTACTTCTAATGAAGTATTTTTCTGAAAGACGTTGGTATGTTGTGGAGTGTGGGACATTTATAGTAAAATGATTGAATAGTGTGGACTCTGGAGACAGACATTGTGGCTCCAGTAGTTTCTGCATGTTCTTGGGCAAGACAGTTTCCTCAGTTTTCTCAGCTACTAAATGAGATAGTAGTAGTACCTGTGAAAATTGAGTTATGTTTGTTCAAAATAACATAGAGTAGATAGCAAATCAGTCTATAGAAAAGGTTTTTCAAAACCACCTACCACATTCCACAATAAACTACAGCTGAAGGGTAATAGAACTGGAAAGGTTGGTATTACAATTCTATGAAGTGAATTTCTATAGTCTTCAAGTGTATATTCCTTCACAGGCCATTTAGTTCTGTGGCATGGTGCCCAGTACATTTATGTTCATTTATGTTCCTAGTGTCAAGCACTCATTAATATATAGCAGATGTGCTTTACTCACCAAGCTCTGGTTGTCAGGCAGCATGACAATGATCTGTGCATTGTGATCCCAAATCATTCGCCAGAAATCTTTCGTAGTATGTGGCAGAGGATGCTGGGTTATAATAAATTCATTGCTCCTATAATATCCCTTTAGTTAGGAAGAGAAAAACCCAGCAATTTATGAGTATTTTATTCTAACTTTGTGGTAGTAAGGTAAGTTTATGAAACAAAACAGCATTTTTTTTTTTTTTGGTCTTTTAAAAATATGGAACGCTTCATGAATTTGTGTGTCATCCTTGCACAGGGGCCATGCTAATCTTCTCTGTATCGTTCCAATTTTAGTATATGTGCTGCTGAAGCGAGCATAAAACAGTTATTTTACAAAGGCATTCATCAATTTTCAGATATATTTCTGCTAACAATGTACAGTTTTCTCATTATATGCAGTTTACTTCAAGTCACCCCTGCTGTTTTTCTTAATAGTAATTTCAGCATTTATTCAAAGACTAGATGGGTGAAATTAACAATAAATTTCTTAAGAAGGAATTTAGACATTTAGATATTTTTATACTGTTACTGTTTGGCAGTCTTCTGTTAAAAATTTCAAAATACAGAAATTTCTGTATTTTTGATATTTAATATACTGAGAAATTAATTCAGAACTTAAATCAGTCACATAGCTGGTCTCTACTCTTTAACATCTCTTGGTTTATTATGCTTTATTTCTGATTAATAATTAACTCTTACCATGATATAAGAAGCATTAATGTAATCTGTTCCTTTCATTCCAGGCAAAGGTGCAAGACCCACTCGAGCTCGCTCAGCTATCATATGGAAAAAACATTAGTACATTCACCTTAGTATACACAGGAACCAACAACCCTTTCCAAGATTTACTTATTGAAGACCATACCACCCTAATTCTGTGTTCTAAGTCTCACCTATATAGTATGCTTAAACAAGCTAAGATGTTATCAGGGAACATGACGTTTTGCTGTACACATCCAGGATATTGGTAATATAAAAATGAAATGTTAATGAGGGAGAGGTTTTCATAACATCACTGAGAGTACTGTACTATACTACCAGTATATGAGGTTTGCTATTCTTACACTGAACACCAATTATGTTGTCTTTTGCTTTTTTCCAACCCTTTATCCCTTTCTCCCCACAAAGTTGTTAGAAAACAGTGGCCTCCTCAGTAGCGATAAATCTCTTCACAGCTTACCATGCCTGTGTCTGCACTACATACACGGTGTCCTCTGTTTTGTTGTGAGTTACTTGTATAAGGGTCACCACCAATCATTAGTGCATAGCTTTCATAGCCAGAATAATTCAGTGATGCAGTATGAGATACACAGAGTAATTCAGGTAAATGTTAAAGGCATGCTAATGCCACTGTGATGATAACTTTGATATTATTTTTAAGTTGAAATACAGTAAAAATAAGCACATTCTTATATGTTGAAATGAATCAAAACTAGATTTCATTTCATGTAGATGGAGTGACTTCACAGCACTCAGAGCTGCCACATCTACTTGTTTCAAACTCCCAGCTACAGTAAACATAGTATTCTCCCTTTGCTTAGTAGCTGCTGGTTATAAAATACAGTTTACAACATGAACACATGGAACCTAGTCAAACTGATTTTAAGCTCTTACATGGCACAACTGAAGAGTTTCTGTTCTTTTCTTTGTTACATTCTTTCTGAGCACTGAAGCATTCCACGTATTTTGCATTACACTGTGTAATGAGCTGAAAGAAAAGTGACATTTCCGTCTTCATTCAAGGTCATAATTGATAGCACCTGTTTTCACAATTTGGACCAATACCAATAATCAGATTATTACCAAACACATTTTTTGTTGGTAACAAAGAATGTTTTCTTGCCTTACAAGTGGTATTTGAGTGGTTGTGTCTTTGTGTAACTTCTTTCAGATACTAGGCTCCTGGAATAATGATACTGGGTGTGTGTGCAGTATTGATTGGATGATGTAGATTTCTGTGTTGTAGGTTGTTATTGCTTTTGTGAATTCTGTCTGTCATTCCTGAATGGTACATAAGATGCTAGAGTGCCTATTCTAGAAAAGACTGTTTAAGCCTTTGAAGAATTAATGATGGTTCTAGAAGATAAAGTACAACTTAATGGGTTCTTAGTACTTTTCCCTTTAACTGAGATTGTTATAAAGCAGCAGAGGCAAACTGTATAGCATCCATGCTGCAGTGGGCTTTCTGTTACCACTGAAAGCTCTAAAAGATTCGCTGGCACTATTGTAACACCATTACAAATGATCAGCCCAAAAGTGTAGTTATTTTTCTATATATATGGACGATGGTTGAACCATTTGCAATACTATTTTTTGTGGTGATGGGTGGGGACAGTCTATTTTAATTCAATTTTGTAAGAATAGTGAATTTTGTTACTGTTGTCATGGCCCTAGAAGTAGTTTTCTTTTTTGAGTGTCTGATTATTTTATTTGAATTGTGAAATGTTTAGTGTTTGAAAAAGTCATTACCTGGTTACCAACAGAAGAGACAGATCTATTCTATGAATCTTTCTATTTTTAAAGTTCTGTATGTATAAAGAAAAACAAACAGTTGAGCATTTTTTATCTCAAATTCCTGGCACCAGCAGAGTGTCAGATTCTGTGGGAGACTGGAGTATTTGTATATATATGCTGTCTGTGGGACAGAAATCAAGTCAAGATAGAAAATTTATGTTTTATATATAAATAGCCTAAAGATAAGCTTATACACATACATAATATACGTTTTATGGTGTGGAATAATCTGTTGCATGATGGTTGACACTCAAAGTTTTAGAGTTTGGAGCATTTAATTTTTTTGCACATTATTTTATAAGTGTACAGTTTTTCAAGATGGAAAATAAATGAGTCTGTGCTGTTTTAATTTTCATGATGAAACTTTCACAGAGCCCAAAAATTTCAGTTGAATCTGTGCTGCAGAAATAAAAAAGAGACAGAACTTAAGACATGCTGCTACTTAATGTTTTCTGAGAATTCATTTTTAAACTTAAAATGATACATTTTAAATCTTCATTATTAATTATTCATTAATTATTATCACCAGTGATTTTATAGTAGTTGGGATGTTAAGAGGAGAACTAGGCATTTAAAATTATTGTTAGGATTAAACTCAGTACAAATGTTTTTCATTTTATATCCCTTGATGTAATTTGCTTAGCAATCTCATCTCTTTAGTTGAGATTCAAATGAAAGGTTTCAGAGTCTGGGAAGCTTTATCATGAAAAGTAAAATCGTACTTTTTTTTATCTTTTCAATCTTGACACAAAATGGGACATTACCTACATATACAACAGTATGTAAAAAAAACCTGAAAAGTTAATGAAAAACTATTTAGATAAAAACTCGAACTATTTCTAAGATGACGGTATGTAACTTATCGACTGGTGATTTCTTACTGTTTATTTTTCTGAAATTCTGTATTGTTTCTACCCTTTTTTCTGTTTTTTTTCCTTTCTCTTTAAATAAAAAAAAAATTAAAGAAAGTACTTAGTGATTGGAAAGACACCATTTGAAAGTTACAATAAATTCTTTGAGCTTTTCTGGTCTTACTTGCTTTGACAGTTTTTATACACTCTTTCAATCTCACATCAGTTAATCTATATGAACCTTAACTGCCTTGAACTTCTTCCTGCCCCCTATCAAAGAAAAAAGAGGCACTATTTTAGGAAAAGTTAACTCTCCTGTAGTACTGTTAGATTTAGTAGCTCTTTGGGGGTTTTCAACCCATGTTTTGGAATAAGTTTTCAAACAGGTATTTTGCGAACTACCTGTCTACAAATAATCCTTCTTATTAACAAAGGTATCATCTAGTGGTTCAAAAAAGATAATTTTTTGTTTGATCAGCACTGACTCTTAAGTCTTGTATCACTGTAGATACAGGATGATGTTAATGTTCAAGTCAAGTGATAAAAACTGCTCAGGAGGAAAAATAGCATGGTATATCTGAATGTTGATAGTAATACTGGTGAGAGGGAGTGACTTTGTACTCCTTAAATATAATGAGAAGGAAAATAAACAGAAGTTCGTATCAAGCTGACATTAATGCTGTTAAGATCCCAAACTCTTAGGCATTTTTCTACTATCTTGCTTTATACTGAAGGAATTACTCAAAGCACTACCTTGAATTGTTTTTCCAGTCGTGTCTTTCCTCCTACTCCAGGTATAAGGATGCTGTTAACATAGCTATGCAGCTGATTTGAAGATACTTCAGTTTCATTTCCAAGAATGGCCTCCAACAAGGCATCATGGATGAAAATATACTGCTCCTAAAAGGTATATTAAATGAGAATCAACAGGGAGAGTTGTTAAGGGATAACCCACAGTCCATGAAGTCTACCAGCTGGGAACTCCCAGTGAATTTCTACACTAGCAGCTAGGAGATTTGCCTCAACACTTAATTGGCTATCTATCCTAACTTGTTTTATGGTAGTGACTATGCTAAGTTTCCTCAGTATTCTACACTGTTCTAGTAAGAGCAATCCTCTTGTGTGTTTCTGAGGTTTGAAAACATATCCAGCTCATAACATCTAATGCAACTGTGTCTGATACAGAAATGCTCTGTAGTTATTGAGCAATCCAAATACTAAGGTTCAAAGAGAAATGAGGAACTATGAAAAGAGATCATCATGGTTGGTATATCTTTTACTCCACACTTGTCCATTCCTTTAAACCTTAAGAAATAAATCAATTTCCTAATATCACTCACCTTTCACATAAGTGTGTGTTGGCATCTCATGAGGATCAGTTCTTACCTCTGTCTGGACGAGGTAGTTGCGCTGTGTCCTGATATGCTTCAGGAATCCCAGGACATTAACTGTGCTTTTATCTTTTATCTGTTGTAGCATGCTGTCTATTACAATGTAAGTGCCTGTCCTGCCCACACCAGCACTGTAAGAAATAAAGGTGTACTCCGCTAGTACTCTTAAACCAAGGACTGGAAAAGTGACAATCTAAATGCATAAAGAACTTAGAAATAACTGTAATGTCTAGATAACCTAGGATAAATGACAGGATATTCACATAGGTAAGCTTCATTAGGTAATTTCCACTTCATGAGTTCGACAAGGAGCACAGAGTGCCTTTACACTGTAGGAGCTGAAAGATGGATGATGTCTCCTTGATTTCTCAGCCTGCTCGGCGTGCAGTCAGTGATTTAGGCCTCTGAGGTGTCTGTGGCAGTAGCTGTCCCCATACCAGCACCAGGCCTCCTCACCGTTCAGCCTCGTGGTTGGTTTTTCAAGTGTCCCAGGGATTCTGTGAGTAGTCATTATCTTTTTAATAAACCTATTTGCTGTGCTATTTGCTTAGTCTGCTACTGTTGCATGCAGCTAAGAAACTGATGTTCTCAGTATCAGAAAATTCCTATTTAAGGTGTTACTTTACTTTTGTAATCTTGGTATTATAATGATACAAGAAAATCTAACTTCTTATTCCATATTCCTTAATTGTTAAAGATTCTCAGCTAGATCTGAACTCTGTAATACTGAGTAAGAAGTTTGTTTTGGCAACGCACCAGAAAGTTCCCCATCTTGCGTAATACCTAGGCTATGTGGTAGACCAGTCTCTACCTAGTGCTTATTAAGTGTATTAGTGAAAAAGTAGAATTCTTATGGGATTCTAAGCAGAAGATATGTTCTTCTGCTTGTTTGGTGAAAGCATATTACAAGAACAACCCAAAAGAAATGCTTAGAAATTGCTATGCAGCATTGTAACATCAACTACAGAATAATAGAAGCACTTTTAAACAACCATTTGTTGTTTTAGTTGAGGGGAAATAGACTTGCACAGTGCTTTTTAAAGTGGTATTTTATATAATATACATAACCTAGAAATTTTTAAAAAATCATTCATATGTACTATAAATTATTTGAGAAAATTTCAGAAACACCATGCACAAAACTCTGAATCTCTGGTGTTGAAAACTCTTATAATTTCTTATTTTTAATTATTAGAGCCAGCTATAATTACTGTACAAAACACAGGGATTTTATTTAAAAAATGAGTTTGAAGACTGTCACAGGTTTATTTATTCCAGTTTTCAGACGAGGACTTTCCAGGCAAATCAAGCAAAGCAGGAACAGGATTTCTAGGATCCAAGTTCAGAAGGTCCAATTTCTAGCAGATTAAAGAGCATGCCAACCCTACCTGCAGTGTACTAACACAGGACCCATGTCTGGTGTCCTGGCAGCTGAGGATCTCCTTACAAAGGTCAGGACCGGCAGGGCGTACTCAGGAACTCCCATGTCAGGCCACTGTGTGTAGTGGTACTGGATCACTATTCTTTCATTCTGACGGCCCTTGGGATTTCCCTTTTGGCCCTAAAAGAAAGGTGTAAAAAGACATCTTTAATCCAAGAGTGAACATTCTGCTCAAAAATAATATAAAGCATAGGAGATAAGACCTATCTCATGACCAAGCTAGCTTATTTCCTCTTTGTGACCAACACTCATGTCATTTGTGGGTAACATTCATGGCTAGCTGGATATGAACATCATTCTCTTAGAAGGTAAGAATAATATTTTACCAAAGATGAACATGTTAATACTGGTATCTTGGACTTAGGACCACCAAGAACACTTTGTGGTTTACATACAGTGTCTCCATTTCCTTGCTTTCTGACTCACTTTGTGCTCTGTTTTTATTTGCCTATGGGCTAAGATTCCCCTTCTCCAGTGTTCAGGCTGGTCACCTTGAGATCAGGAAGGAAGAGTAGGTAGCTGCTGCTCTGTACTCTCCAAGAAGATTCTAAATGTTGAATGAGACTCTGTCTCCAGAACCAATGTCTCATTTATCTGTCTGTTTCATAAGTAATTTCTTTCAGAGTAGTTTTCCTTTAAATAACTGACCTTTTTACAGTTTAACTACTTTGAATGAAAAAAATCCCCAGATAGGAATTCCTGTAAATTGATTTAGGAAGTCTGGAAGCTATTTGTTGCTCTTAACCCAGAATCCCACACAAAATGGTAACAAATCAAGAGATTCACATTTCCATATTTACTTTAAGAAAACCGTGAAAGTACCCAGGCTATCAAAGGTATCCATATCTAAACACCACCAAGTATCTGAAAAGATGTCACTTTATAAAAGCAATATGCGACATTCATTGGTACAGTGGTAGAGGTGGTAGGTGTGCCCAGGCCAAAGAGTGAGAGTGGATGCAGGGCTGGTGGCCTGAAAAATGCTGCATTTTTATCACAAATGCTTGAAATTGTAGACAGCAAAACAGAATGTAGGGTTTAGCAGTAGATTCTCTGGTCATTGACCATGTCCAGGTGGAAGTACGCAGATGCACTGTTGGACTTAAAGAGCTCTTTGCCACGTAGAGAAGACTCTCCCTAAAAGGAACAAATTGTTCCTGTACCACAAGACATTAAACAGAAGAGACAAATATCTCAAAAGAAGCTGAAGAAAGATTAAGGAAAGAAAATAAACTCAGCATGAAATAAATGCCAATGATTTTTCAAAAGGTCTTCCAACACTTTAGTGGCTATGACATTTTCTTAGGTTTTAATGCCTCTGAAAATCTTATTTATTTATCTTTTGATGACTTGGGGTCAGGAATCAACACTGAGACTTAAAGGGTGCTGGCCTTGAGCTATTCATGCCCACAATAGTTTTCCCTTTTGACTACTTAAGTAGTTCTCAAAGGAAGGTTGAGCAGACCTGTTTATATACCTGAAGGATTCCCATGAAAAATGGGCTTTATAAACTTCATAGTGATAATTGGTTATCTAACCAGCAGCTCTATGACAGTGCTGATTATCATATATTCATACTATTTCTGGAAATAACTACAGAAAGATCTGTTAATGTGGGATTACACTTGCACTTCTGGGCTTCTGAATGGAAAATGAGTAAATGTGAATTCTTTTGGGACATTCTTAGAAGTCCAACATGCCCCAAAACAGAGAACAAAAACAGATCCCACAAACAATAGCCATAGCTGTCTACAGAGCAATAACATCTTCTTTCTTTGCATATACCTAGAGTTCAAATATTGCTGTGATTTCTGTTGTGACAGTGGAATTTGAAAAAAATACACCGAGGTATTTCTATAAGAAGCCTTTCTATACAGTGTGATTCTCAAGATATTACTAATTCTATAGAGAAGATATATTTTTATTTGTACATTTTTTGAAATTCTGTCTTTGTCACTTTTAGGAATTGAACCCACAGTCTTCAGAATGAGATACAGCCACAACCTTCTAAAAATTATTTTATTTCACTAAGTTGTTCAGGCTGTATTTTAACTTGTAGTCCTCCTGCCTCAGTCTTCCAGAGCGCTGGCATTACATGTACTGCTATACTTGGTGTAAAGATTTTATGGATGTCACATTAGAAAACACTAGGAAAAACAAGTGTAAGTTTCATAACTCTGGACACTTGTGTTTACTATGAATCTCTAAGTAGAGGATGTATACACGTAGCATTTATTTCCCATTCTTACCAGTAAAAGTTCTGTTATCTAGTATCTTGTAGCACTAGCATTCCTTGAAATATTCTTGGGAAATAATGCTTTGAAACTGTCAGGAAATTGAAATTAGAAACCTAAATCAATAAACAGATGTTGCCATATTTGCTGATTGTTATCAAAACCTAAGAGGATGCCTTTTTTATTATTTAAAAAAATTTTTTTAATGAGGATTTGTTCATGAAGAAAATAAAGAACTTAGGCCAGTTAATTTCTATTATGTGCTCTGGCCATACATACCATTCTACTACAGTGATGTCAGTCAAGAGAGTCATTAGATTAGGAGATTTCACCTTTGTTGTACTGTAATTTTCATACAAGTATCGAAAGACATGCCCTGGTGGCCCACCCAGCTTCCTAAATACCTTCTTCACTTTTGTATTCCTGATTGAAAAACGACGAACAGTATAGCAGGCATGTACTTTTGTGCTCTTCAGTGTGACAATAATATTTCCATATTCCTCACTATTTTCTGTTGGCCAATATTGATCACATTTTCGCTGAAAAAAGATAAGTTACAAATTCCAAATTATAATGTTACATCACAAGAAAAAATGTCACTTATTTGACTGAAAATTAAACACATGGGCAGATGTAACCTCTGAAGAACTGTATCGCTAGGGGATGGGGTGTAGTTTGGGCAGTATCATCTGAGAAATGGGCCTTGTGATCATGACTATCTTACAGTTATATCATGTACTGTAAAGAAGGCCTAAAAAAGAAACCAGTATGAAATGTGAGTAGGATATATCCTAAACAGAGTATACATATCATTTAAGAGGCCTTCTGGCTGGATTTCTAAAGATCTTTTGTGCTGGGAATCTCTTGTGTTACAGCTTGGGTCACCAAAGGCAAAATGGACTCCATGGTTCAAGTAAAGGGGTAGATATTTTGAGCAATGGATTTATGGCCTAGCTTTTATTCTAGCCTCAATCGGCACTGTCTAATACAAACTCAAGTCCAATACATTCTATAGTCCCAATCGTTATTTTTAACAAAGATCTAATCAGGGAAAAGGTGTATGAAGCAGTCTCTGCTGCTCCTAAATTACAAGTAATTTGTTTAATATTCCATGCATCTTCTAACTTCTGTACTTTCTGCTTTTTTTTCCCCCTAAAATTAGAATGTTCTTTCCTCCTTTTTACTGCCTGTTTAACTTCTTTTCCTCATTTTGTTTTACTCACTTCAAAATATTAGCTCCTTTAATATCCCCCTAATACAAGTCAAAACACACATCTGTTATCACATTTGATTCACAACTGCAACACTGAAGCTCCCTTCCCAGTAGTCCATAACCAAGACAAAAGCACACAGAACACTTCATTTCAGTAAGTATTTATAACTGGGTCAAATTCCTGTCCTACAGCAGGTACTATATTGGTATTTCATGAATGAAGGTAGATTATTAAGGGTACTTACTCTTCCTTTCTCCACAAGGTTTGTAATCATGATAATGATTCCAGTATTTTGTTCCCAAATCATTCTCCAGAAATCTTCAAATGTAGACTTTAAAGGTCCTTGGGTGGCAATGTAGGCTTTTGCTCTGTTGTAACCCTTGAAAGATGACATAGCATAAAGTGAGATGAGCACAGTTATCAGAAAAGTTAATAATTCAAGTATCTTCCACACTAGGCTGGATTTTTAGTGAAAGCTCTATGTGGTATTAAAATACATTCAACAGTTTCTGCTGCAGTTTTCAATTTTCAGAAACAGGTTTGTAAAAACATTTCTGACTTACATCAACATAGTTTGCATTAATGTAGTCGCTGTGCTTAGAGTCTTTTCCTGGTAAAGGTCTTAATTTCACCCTACTGTGATCATCTGTAGAAGATAAGGCAAAAACAAATAAGTAATTTTTAAAAAGGGGCATTCTAAATACAAAACAAGGCAGATATATAATGTGGCATCTCCCAGAATGCCCTGGAAAAACTCCTGGCAGAATAAGTAGTAAATAGTACATTCAAACTCATCTCATCTAAGGATCTGGGTAACCCAAGAAATACAAATTAAGGTCTTTATTAGTTTGTAAAAACTACTGCAAAGTGCTACCCTCCAAAAATTTCATTGCTTTCTGTTTTGAAACCATGTTCTAGGGTCTTCAGTTACTCAACCACTCCTCCACTTCCTATTACGACAGATAAAAAAGATGGCTGTTATTTTGGGTCCAGAGCATCTCTTTTTCAGGATTTCCCTTGCTAAATTCAGATAGATTCCCTGCCACTTCCACAGAACTCTATGTAATTAAGGAAAACAGAACTTCATTTCCAAATAGTTTCATTACAGGAAGTCAGTGCCCATATTTTAAGAGTCACTTTTACTTAGGTTGGGAACAAAATGAGAGGTGGAGCAGTGTATGTGAATGTACTTGTTCAACAGAATGAGCCAGGATTTTTAGAACAGCAAGAAGAATAAAAGAAAGCACAGTTGTTACTTTCAGTTTACCTAGTGAAGAACAGAATGGGCAAAAGCCAATATATATTTTTGTTTAGTCATTATCATAAAAGACTAGTTCAAAAAATAACATGAGGAGACTGGCCTATGTATTAATTTCTAATACATGTAAGCACTAAAGCACTTTTAGAAAGCCACCTATAGTCTTGGAATTGTGACTTGCTTATTGTTTTTAATGTGAACAGTTGATATGAAATGAGCTACCTATTAAAAATAAAAATTTTGTAATACACTCCAAAAATTTTTTCTTCTAAGGCCTCTGGGTAGAAATTACTATGCCTTAGTAGCAACCATACTGTATATTATCCTTTCCTAGACAAGTAAGAACATAGATTTGAAGTTGTAAAATTTGCATTAAACTAAAAGGTAATAAACGGGTTAACATCAGTATTGAAAGTGGTGTGGTAACATCCATATATATCTTGAAAGTTGTACTGGCTCTAGTATATCAGAATCGTGTTTCTGGCACAATGATAGTGTGATTTTACTGTTTCCCTGACATTATTATGGTGTTCATTGCTATATAAAGGCACTAATATAACAGGAAGAAAATAAAGTGACAGGTAATATGCCCAAAATTTGACTAGTCAAGAGAACATCCAGATTCAAGCCTCTGAATTTTTGAAGATAAAACTACATCTAAGTTGAATTTGTGAAAGTAAATCTATAATGAAGGAGAGAGATTGCTTTTCCAGTCAAGCACCATGACCTTTGGGCTTTCATCTCTTCCTTGTCTCCTAGTTTTAGCCAAAGCAGAAAAAGGTCACTAAAAGTTAAGGCTGCAGTAGAGAATAATGTGAGGAAAAGAAGAAAACTTTGACTCTTCCTTGTTCTTTCTCTTTTTTAAATCTCTTCATTTTTTTAAAGAAGTAAAAAAAAATTATATTTAAAAATAACTTACAGTTCTTTTAGAACTTCAGGAAAAAATAATATTATCTCTATTCACAGATGATATGATCCTATATATAAAAACCCAAAAGAATTCACAAAAAATTAATGGGTTCAGCAAGGTGGTAGATCAATCTATAAAAATCCGCTGTATTCCTTTATTTTGGCAATACTGGTGATTGTATCCAGGCCTTCATGAATTCTAGGTAAGTGCTCTACCACTGAGTTACATCCTGGTCCTTTTGAACTTTACTTTGAGACACAGTCTCCCTAAGTTGTGTTAGCTAGCAATGAACTTGAAATCCTGTTGTCTTAGCCTCCCAAGCAGATGTGATTATAGGTACATGCTGCTGAGCCTTAATGTATAAGCAATCTGAAAATTAAGTGAACTCATTTATAATAGCATTATAAACAATAAAATACTTAGGGATAAATTAAACCTACATATATGGAAAGACATCTACCTTTGTGGATTGGGAGACACTACTGTTATACCTGGAGGTCATCCTCAAATCAATCTACAGATTTATTATACAGTAGTACAGTAAACTCCAAAGTCCTTGAGTTTATTCTCAAATTCATATGGAAACCCAAGGGACCCAGAATAGCACAAACAGTTTTGAAAAAGACAAGTCCTTTAAGGACTCATAGTTCCCAGTTTTAAAAACTTGTCACAAAGTTGTCTGTAATCTAGGGACAGTGCAGTACTGGTAAAGGGAACAAAGCCATATAGATTAACAGAACAGAATTAAAAACCCAGAAACAACCCAATACATGCTGGTCAGCTGATGTTCAGTAAGAAGACTAAGAAAACTGAATGAATAAAGTCTTCCACTGAGGGTTCCTTGGCACAAACATATCTCCATGACAGTGAATTTTAGGGGGAGGTGGGCTGGAGTTGTGGCACAATGATATAGGACTTGCCTAGAATGCTTAAGGCCCTAGGTTCAATTTCCAACACAATCAAAAAGGATAAGGATGGATTACTATCTCACTAAATATCAAAACTGAGTAAGAACAGATCAAAAACCAAGAGCTAAAAATCCTCACATTCTTAGAATTCAGTACATCTTGGCTTAGGCAAGATGTGATACGAAAAACAGGCATCAGTAACAAAAAAAATATAGGTTGATTTCACCAAAATTTTAAAAAATTCTGAAGAAACTGAAAAAGACAATGCAAAGAATGAGAGAAAATTTTTTTGCCAGTTATATAGGATCTGTCCCCAGAATATAGAAAGATGTCATGTATCTCAATAGTAGTCAAAGATGACAAGGGAAAAAGATGTCATATCTTTAAATAGCTAGTAAACACAAGAGAAGATGCTCAACACCTGTAATCATTAGGGAGATGCAAATTGGCTATAATGGGTACCATACCACATATATTAGGGGTGCTGTTATCAAACAAAATCTAAAAACCAAACCAGAAAACAAGGACTGGTAAAATGTGGAGAAAACCTACCCTTATATATTGCTATCAGGAATGTAAAATGGTACAGGTGCTTTGGAAAAGTTGATACTTCCTCAAAATGTTAAAAAAAATACATTTACAAGCTGTGCCTGGTGATAGACAGCTGTAATACCAGCACATTGGGAGAATCACAAAGTCAAGCCCAAAGTGTGCAACTTAGCAAGACTATCTCTAAAGAAAAATTATAGAGCCTAGTGTATGAATGTTCAGAGCAGCATTACTCATAGTAGCCAAAAAGCATTCATCAAATGATGAATGAATAACCAAAATATTATATATCCATGCAATGTGAAATAGTGGAATACAAATGCGTGGTATGACATAAATGAACCTAAAATATAATGCTAAGTGGTATAAGCCAGACAGAAAGTCATATATTATGTAATCTCACATGAAATCTCCAGAATATGCAAATCCCAGAGACAGGACATAGGTAATTTCTAGGGGGTTAATATAAAGGAAGGAATTAAGAGGGCCACTAACTATTTCTTGTTGGAGATACTAAAAATATTCCAAAATTCATTGTAGTTACAATTTTCCAACTTTGACTATATATTAAAACTCAGTGAATTTTATACCTTACATGGGTATGTTCTCATATTGTATATGAATTATATTTTACTAAGATTTTATTAAACAGAGCCTTACAGTAGGGTTCAAATTTTAAGTTTTCCATGTTAGATTCACTAATATTTGAAATCCTGTGTAATGTGGTCCTTACTATAATGCGTGTTGACCCTAAAACAACAGTGCCTCTACCTTTCCTATGAAAGCAAAGACATTTTAAGGATTCTTTTCTTGCTATACTTGGGACAAAAGATACAGGAATAATTTGTATAGACTTTACTGGTTAAACATCCCTCTCCTGAAATGTGAAACGTCAATCTTTCAGAATCTGACATGTGGATGCACTGTGGCCTTTTAACCACACAAGTAGTCTGTTCCTTTGGCTTCTGTAGACTGCCTATCTACTTGAGTCTGGATCCTCCAGGTACTCCCGATCTTGAAGATACACCAGAAGATACACCAAAAGGGAGGCTCCATACACATAATCTTTGAAAGACTGTCTTGAAAGCTAGGCCTCTTAGTGCACACCTGTAATCCCAATACTCTGAGAGAGTGAGGGAGGAGGATTCTGAGTTCAAACCCAATGTAGGTAACTAGACAAGGCCCCATCTCAAAAATTTTATAAATATAGCTCAAAACAGAGGCTCTGGAAAACACACACACATACCCCTGCTTTGAATCCTGCTTACATGCTTCCAGTTCCCAGATTTTCGGTTTGTATTAAAAAGATGTGGCTTGGGGTAGAGCTAAAGATGGCAGATCAGTAAGCAGCAAAATACAGAGCCTTCCTGAGAGAAACAACTCAGATGCCAGAATAAAACATCCTTGAGAGTACCAGACAGAGGGAGATGGACCCTCTCAACTCTGGAAGAAACTAAAGGGAAAAGAGCTGGTCAAACGCACGGTCGTGGGGCTACCACTGAAGCAGCTCAGATTCATGGCTGTGGCACTCTGACTGGAGCTGCCCAAACTCACAATCATGGTGCGCTCAATGCTGAAGCTGCAGTCGCACTGAAGTTGGGGATCAATAAGCCCAGCGGAGAATGGAGCAGGGAGACCTGCACTAACCCACAGTGAGTGGTCGGCGACCAACTGGACGACATGTTGGAATCAGGCAGGATGGGCATGAACAAGGAATGGTAGTGACTTCAATTTGTTGTTCCCTGCCCAGAGCAGATTGGTGGGATCTGCTTGGCATGGGTCATGCCCCTGGCCAGGACCCAATAAGTTGTCCTGAACAAAGTCTGTAAGTGTAGCACACACTAATGTGGTGAAGGCCCCCACTGGTTGGCTCAGAGGGGAGGGGCCAGCATACGCTGCCCCTACTTAAACCTCATTGACCAACAGCAAACTAGAGAGGGCAGAAATCCTTATCCAGCATGCTTCAGAAGAACTAACCAACAGGGAAAGGGGCTGGGACCTCCACTATACTCCTGTATGGAAGTAACCAAAAACAAGACAAGAGAAAGAAGGAAAAGCCCCAGGCCCCCAACTCTACAAATATTGATCCAGGAGAAGTAAATACAGAAGATATTGAGGGCAGCAAACATGCAATATCAGACATGGCATCAGTGGACATAAAGAGAGATCTTCGTGATAGCATAGATGAGCTCAAAACATTAATTCAAGTAAAGCATGATATAAGAAGATTAATAAAAGAAATTCTAAGTACCTCTCAAGACACAGATGGAAGAATGGAGGAATACAAAAAAAGGAGAGAAGTGTTTGATAAATATAAAGAAAACCTAGAATAAATGAAACAGATTCAAAGAGATTACTAGGAAATTAAAAACCCCACTGAAAGCTAGAAAAATTGCCTGACAGAAATTAGAGGTACATTAACAAAACTTGAAAATAAGGTTTGCAAAGTCTGTGAAAGGAAAGATCTCTTAAAAATAACAAGGAAACAGGCAGTAACAATACAAAGGCTAGAAGGCAACAAGAGGACAAGAGGATATGTAATTTAAGAATAAAAATGTGAGTGAAGAAGCAGGAGGAAATACAAAGGCTATTCACAGAAATAATTAAGGAAAACTTCCCAAGCATAGGAAAAGGGAATGATGTTCAGATAAATGAGGCATACAGAACTCCAGCCACCTACAACCAAAACAGAGCTATACTCAGACATAATAATCAAGATCCCAGAAATTCATCACAAGAACAGAATATTAAAAGCTGTCAGAGAAAAGAAAGAGATCACCTATAAAGGAAAACCTATCAAAATCACAGCAGACTTCTTGACACAAAACATCAAATCAAGAAGAGCTTGGAGCAAAGTATTCCAAGCCCTGAAAGAAAATAACCTCCAACCCAGATTGGCATACTCTGAAAAACTGTCTCTCAAAATTAATGAAGAAACGATGTTTCCATGACAGAGAGGAACTGGGGGAATTTGTGACCACCAATCCAACCCTAAAAAAATACTGAAGGGCATTCTGGAGAGAGAGAGAAAAAAAATACTAGGATTTCAGGAAGATTGGCAGAGAGGCCTTAATGAATGGGGCAGACAGTGGAATTAAGGAGAAAAGTAGACAATCAATAGCAGAAAAATAGCATAGCAGAAATGAGGCAGAGAAGGTTGGCTATAGTCTCTAACATAGATGGCCTTGATACACTAACAAAAAGAAACACAGGCAGAATAAATCAGGAGGTAGGGTCCATCGAGGTGCTCTGTATAGGAAATATAATTAACCTGAAAGAGGGTTTATGCACTGAAAATCAAATATGAGAAAACAATGCTCTATGTGACAGGGAAACAGAGAGAAATAGGGGTAAATTAACCAGCACCTGCAGATAGGTTGGAAAGACATGATTCTTTTGTGCAGTGAAGACCTACTCACTATAACGAAGGAAAACCTTGAGGCTTTTGTAGGTAAAGAAATACAACTAGAGATCAAGCCCAGGAGTGAAAAGGTTCAGAACCACTTAGGTAAACTGCAGGTTGCCCCCCCCAATCTAAAAACTGAGGGAGTTAGTGGGACCCAAAATGTGCAGTGTACCCTGTGGGAGTGAAAGGGGAAGAATTGTCTATAAAAGGAAGGCAGAGGGTAGTGTTAATAGTGTGTCAGGATTTAAAATCCACATTATTCTCACCGCTCTGTTTAGATGGATTATATTCTGTTCCAGTTTGTCTACTTGTACTAGATTTGACAGCTATCCCAAAAATAGCAGGATATAGTACGGTAATCATCCTTAATTTCCTATTAACTTAATCTGAAGCCCTGTATAACTTACATTGTCTTATTATGACTGATCTTATTAGAATCTAGCTTGTTAGATTGCTGTTTTGTATTGACTGATTTTATATGAATCTGTTATGATTGATAGTACCAATCTGAGAGTATAGGCAACTACACTGAAGATGACAAGATTCACTAGGATACCCACTGTGGTTTAATTATTATGTGCTTTTAAAGTCTTACAATGTCTCTAATGTTTTGTTTTTATTATTACTATGCACTGCTATGTTCAATTATACTATGCCTGATGATATAGACAATTCTATTGAAGATAACAAGAGACAGCATAGTAACCATTGTAGATCACCTTGTATTGCGGTTTTATATGAATTTTGTTTCATGTTTCTCTAGGAATTTGTTTTATTTTGTCTTGCTTTGTTTTATTTTTCCAATACAGAAAGGATAGCTATACATGTAGAGACTCATGCATGCATAGAACTTATAAACAGTTTATAAGAACTGATTATACAACGCATGATGAAATGAACAACTACTTTGAAGAAAAAAAAGACACTTTAGTACCCAGTGCTGGTTCCATGGCATCATGATATGAAATCCAGCAATACTATTATTATTTGTTCAGACTGATTTTAGTCTGTTTTGTTTTGTTTAATTTTAACATACGATTTTGAAGAGGATGAGACACTATGACAGCTGTTATTGATTTCCCCATTGTCTGGTCTTAAAGACCTAAAATGCCTTCATCGTTCTGTTTGGATCAGTTTTATACTATGTTGTTTGGTGTGAATTGACTCTATGTTAAGATATGGACAACTATTTGGAAGAAAACAGGAGACAATATGATAGATAGTGAGGATCTCTGGTTGTCTTGCTTTGAAATTTATGTCTCTTGCTCCCCTCCCTGGTAAGCGGCGGCAGTGTGGCCCACTGCAGTCCTTCCAGGGGGAGAACCAGCAGTGTCTCCTGAGATCCACGCCATGTTAGAGCTTAGGACTCTGGGAATCCAAGCCAGCACCTCCCCTCCCTGGTAAGCGGCGGTAGTTTAGCCCACTGCAGCCCTTCCAGGGGGAGAACTAGCAGTGTCTCCTGAGATCCACTCCATGCTGGAACTTAGGACTCTGGGAAGTCAAGTCAGCATCTCCCCTCCCTGTAAGCGGAGGCAGGGTGGCAGCCTGCAGCCCTTCCAGGGGGAGAACCAGCAGTGTCTCCTGAGATCCACGCCATGTTGGAGCTTAGGACTCTGGGAATCCAAGCCAGCACCTCCCCTCCCTGGTAAGCGGCAGCAGTGTGGCCCACTGGAGCCCTTCCAGGCAGAGAACCAGCAGTGTCACCTGAAATCCACACCATGTTGGAACTAAGGACGCTGTGAAAGCAAATGACCATCCTGCCTCCCTGCTTAGCAATAGTGAACCTACTGCTACATGGCCTAGAGTCAAACATCCCACTTCCCCTATTCCACCCCCCCCCCCCATTAGCAAATGGAAATCAAAATCTGAGTATCTCCTGGGAGGTTGATCATAGCAAGTAAGTGGGACTTCCTTCTACCATTTCTTTGAAGGCAAATATTTTTATTTCTGTTTTGCTCTTTTCTGATTAATGGTACTGCTCTATTCAATATTCTGTATTGATAAGTTCTATAGTGTTTTATATTTCATCTCATTTTGATATATGTGATTAAAAGAACAACTATTATAAAGATAACAAAATATACTGTGATACCTATTACTGTTACCCCGGTAACCTGCTGTGAAGTTCTGTACCAATTTCACAAAGCCAACAATCTTAGTTGGCTTTATTCTGACGTGTTCTGTTGTATACTTTCAAAATAAAATTAAAAAAAAAAACTGCAAAAAAAAAAAAAGAAATTTATGTCTCTTACATTGCATTCTTGTGTTCTGTTTTGTTGTGTTTAATTTTATCCTCTTTTTAAAAAAAAAAAGACATGGCTCTCACTGGTTTAAAAAAAATGTCAAGATAGCCAAGTGATATTTTAACTTTCGTTCCAAAATGTTATGTTGTCACCTCATATGGAAACAGTGCAGCTCAAACATTTCTTGCAGTTACCTTATTAAGTTCTTCCTCATTTTACAGTTTAATGAAACGCCAAGAGGAGATAGGCTCATGAGAGGTTTGATTTTGACTTCTTGGCTTTCCACTTGTATCCAAACAAGAAGATTTAATTTCCTCGAAGTCAAAATAGTTTAAGGATCATTACTCACATGCTAAAATGTTGATGTATCTGTTTTTGTGCTTGTTATCTGGATGATTGGAATGTTCTGCAGTGATGTTCATATCAGCTGTACAGCGCTGGACTTCCTAGTGACAAAAAGAAACAGCAAGACTTCAGATATGCTTTAGAAAGAAAGGAACTAGAGTCAGGTACTGTATTCCTTATATGTTGGAGGTAATAGTGATAAAAATAAACCCAGTATACTTGTTGTCACATAATAGCATTTACAACTATATACAGCACACAGTAATGTGATAATAATTACAACTGTCTTATTGACCTATACATTTGCTGTGCTATGTTTAAATCACTACTTTAGAAGTACTCCTACTTATAAAAAAAGGGTTACTATAGACCAACAGGCATTTCACAGTGGCAGCTGTCTCATACACCTTGTGTTTACTGTGTCTCTTGATTCAGTCAAGAGGCTGTGTTGAACTGCACCTACATAGGTCCATGCACATATGCTCTATGGTGTGCATATGGTGAACAAAAGGGATTAAGGTAGGTCACAGAATATGTCTTTTTCAGATATAAAATGTCCATCAAAAACAAAGTATACACTTCCTAGCACTATGTTCCCATTTTTGCCCCCAAACCCAGCTTCAGATACAGTGACTACCAGAACCATAACAAAAAGAAAATGGAGAAAATGAAGGTATGATTTTTACTTTTTACTAACTCTTCAATCAACTTTATTCCAGATTTTCACCTAGGCACTGGGATACAAAAGAATCTCTTTTTGAGTATAAAACAGTTTGCAAGACAAAAGATAGTTTAGTGTGATCAACAGAGAAGAAGCCTTAAAAAAATGATGGCAGGAAAGTTTAAAATAAGAGATGACAGGTTCACTGAGTCTTATATGATAAACAGGAATTTCTAACAAGTACAGTGTCCACCATGATTTGCCATATGCGTATAGGCCTAACATGCTCCTTTTATATCCAAGAGACTACAATCTGAGTCTGAAGTCTCAGCCCTGAAATGATATCAATATATGGCCTAATCGTCATGTCTGGCTTAGATATGTGTGGCCCTGATAAATTATTTGTAAACTTCCACAATTTGCATTTGCAAATGTTCCTAATACAAGGCCCATTCCAATTGTATTGGTAAAAGTTTGCAACTTGAATGTTTGTAAGTCAGGCACTTACTATATATATAAAGATGCTAAAAAGCCAGATTTTCTAAAGTGTATGATTCAACCTCAAGAAAGTACTTGAGCTAACTAACAAGAGGGCAGCGTAAGTTCACTACTACGAAGAGCAGGAGAAAAGGAATACAAAATTACAGGAGAAATGTTTTTCATGGACCAGATGTATCAGAGTTTAGGAGTATGCACGATTTATTACAAACAGTTACATAGCAATTACAAATGTTTTCCACAGCATTTACATTAAGCATAGTGAAAATAGGAAACTGGTTCTTTTATATTCACAAAGTATTTTCTAGGGAGGAAAAACCCTCTTCTCTGCTTGGAGTAACTCACTATAATCAAAGTATTTAAGGTATTAAAAAGCATTATCAGTTCTACACAACTATACTATAAAGATTTCCCTTCTGGGAGATGCTGTATGTATTGAATTCTTCATAATCATGGGCTTTCTCATCTCTCCATTAAAAACAGAAGCCCCACAAGCATTAATTTAAGCTATCTCTTTGGAGAAAAGTATATTTCATGATAGTTCTGCTGTTTCTTATAAATGTGATAAACTTTGCTATTATCCATTCTATTCTGAAATAGTTTAAAACCTATGGTTTCAGAAATGCTACTTTAAGGGGCCTGCCTCTGGCTCTCTTAAGATGAGAAAAAGTGTGGACACAAAGTACTGAATCTGATTCATTAGCATCTATGAGAGTGTAAGCCATGCTCAGAATATGGAACCTCTGGAATTGCCTTAAAAGCTGGAGCATGTTTTCTTTGAATTGAGTCAAAAGGCAGAAAACATTTGAACATGGATTTGTATTCTGAAATATACTAATTCAATCTATATACAAGTCCTACAAACAAGCTGACATGGTTGCTTAATGTCTGGTTTTGAAAGTCATACCTTTGGAACATACCTCTTCAGGGTGGAATTGTTAAGATATTCTGAGAGATATCCTGGTGTTCTAATCTGAGATTCATTTTGGTTACTGATTTTTCCCCCTTATTGTATGAATCTGGTCATGAGAGCTATGAACAAAAGTGGAGACTCTGTTATAATATAATGCAGTTGACCAGGACTGGATGGGGGAAGCTGTCTGTGCTGTTTAAAGCAGTCATTCAGTATGGCCAGTCAAACTCTTTTGTTGTCTAAAACCTTTAGTCTGATCCTTTGCCTCTATTTTACATATTTTCAATTATGTGAATGACAAAAAACAAAGAATAGTCATAAATAATGTTAAATCTGATTTTATTAGAACTGATAGGGTTTTCCTAAGGTCTTCTGATTTTGTCCTGTGGATTATGTCATCCATAATTCCCCACAGTAATGCTTTACTCATTTAGATGCCGATAACATCATCTGATCCTGGAGTGGCCTTTATCAGTCAAAACTGGTATTTCAAAATTAAGGTAACATTAATAGGTGTCAAAACCTTTTCAGGTGACACTGGCCCTAACAAGAGTGTGCATACTGAAGTTACCTATTTAGCACTCTGTTAAATAGTTTAAGATCAAGCTTAGGCTTCATCATTATTGTTTATATAACCTTGAATCCTAAAAGGCTGATTCTGAATATTTGTAGGCATAAAGCCACAGGAGCAGAAACAGAAAGGAGTGGAAACAGAAAGTATACAACAAAGATCAAAAATGAACACTTTCCTAACATCTGATATTGCCATAAAAATTTTTTTTGGGAGGTGGCTTTTTGAGATAGGGTCTCATCATGTATGCAAGCAGGCCTTGGGCTCACTTTGTAGCCCAGGGTGGTCTCAAACTTGCACCAATCCTCCTGCCTCAGCCTCACAAGTGCTGAAATTACAAGTGTATGTCACCACACTCAGCTTCTAGCCAAAATTCTTGAAAGATGAGTGAGTCACCTCCTGCCTGAAGTCACTCACGTGAGAGGGTATATAAAGAGCAAATGAAGACATACTGTCTTAAAGGCCTTCTGTCCTGCCATTTCAAGAAAACACACACACACACACACACACACACACACACACACACACACACACCTAGAAAGCTTTCCCATTAGCAAAGCAAAACTGGAAAAACTATTTTGGACCTGGTGACCAGTATTAGATCAAGTATATCCATAAGACTGATGTACTTAGGTCATGACTAACCAGTGCTCTTGGAGTATCTGACACACAGCTGATCCTCCTACTTCATATGCACTCCTCAGGTTACAAAATGTGTCAAAAGTGACTTGTGATGCAAAGTGGACTGTTTCTACTGAGTTTTCAAAGGCTCTGGGTATATTCCTTCACCAAGCCTTCAAGACCCTATCCCATCTTCCATGTATATCCTTTCTAGTCTCAGCTTTCACTCAGTGCCCTTAGGAAGGACCATGGATTTTCTGTTCTTTGGTTTCTTTTACTTTGCTAGGAAGGCTTCTTGTTTTCTTCCCCTATCCAAATCCATGTATCTTTACCTGCAACAATTGCCTTTGTCCTTCAGAAAACCAGTCTATATTTGGACAGTTCCTGTAGCACTCACCCTGTATGATTTTGTGTACATTATGTGAAATTTAGCTTGCCTTTAATTTTGTGACTTGAATCTTTAATTTTGTGACTTGAACAATTATTTCTAAAATGACAATATGTAATCCATTAACTAGTGATTTCCTACTGTTCATTTTTTTTCTGTAAATCTGTATAACTTGTACCCTTTCCCTGCTTTTTTTTTTCTTTTCTCCTTAAATAAAATTTAAAAAAAAAAAATGATCCACAAAAAAGAAATTTAGCTTGCTCATTTGTTCCCACCCTTCATGAAAGCTTCAACTTGAATGACTATAATTTTATTTATAAGGGGTTAAAATGTTACTAAGATATTCAAGACTGAACTGGGATTGTGACACAGATGATCAGTCAGTCTCTGCCTTCTTACAGGCGGCAGTATTTGAGCAGCAATATATCTCTGTGCAGGGATTTCCCTGTAATGTGACACTAGCAGCCCTTAAAGTCTGCATTCATTAACCACAGTGATTATGGCCACCATTCACTCTGAACACAGGTTCAGCCGGACCAAGTTTTGCTCTTGATTTAAGACAAACAGCCAGCCCTGATCTAGTAACTCAGCTGGTTACCTATAACACAGACGGTATCCCAAAGGATCTTGTCAAGGGTTATGGACATCTGGTCTCAACTCTACACCCAACCTTCAGATTTCTGATTCTTCTAACCCCTGCTTCTTAGTTTTGTTTGGTCCTGCAGCTTTGGCGGTCTCCCCTTTGAAACGGCCTGCATAGCAGTGGACCTTGGGAAACCTTTCGGCTTGTGACTGCTGACTTTTTAAGCAACATTCTGGGAAGCTGCTTCCTGGGAAGGGCAAGATGATTTAAGTCACCACAGGTAGTGAAGTGAATGTAACCACCAACACTATACAGAGACAAGGATCGATGTTATTTCTAGTGGCAGTAATGCAAGTTGTGATGTCACCAGATTTTCACACTCCACTGTGTACCTGACAAGGATACAATCCTGGCTTTCAGCGCTACCTCTAGAGAAAGATTCAGTATTCCTGGTGACTTGTTTAACTCATTGTCTTCCAAGCAGCAGAATTCTGAAAGAATGACAGCTATGCCCACAATTTTTACTTCCAGGACTCTTAAAACCAAATGAGATAAAGAAAACACTAACTGAAATGCCCAATGGGAATTTCTGGGTGTCTTCCTCCATAGCATTTCTTCAGAGCTATTCCTGCTTTATACCACTTACTTTGTTTTGCCTGGCTGTACTTGTGTGCAAACTTGGTACTTATGTGCAAAAGCACTTTGTGGTTGTGTGCCCCCTGCTGTCGCCCCACCTAGCCAGATGGAAATCTTCAGGGCAAGAACTCAAATTTATCCTGGAACCTTTATCCAGAAAATGTACTGCTCAGTACCTGGTAGACAAGTTGTTTTATCTCTTCTTAATGGCTAAACATTGACTATTAAGTGGTATTTCTCACTACCCCTATAGATGAATACTTTGACTAACTCCAGGCCACTACTGAGATGTTTGGGAGGTCTTCTGTATGGCAGAATCTGAGCTAGTTGAGTAGACTGTAGATCAGTGGTAGCAAAATTTTTAGAGGTTTCAACATTACAAACAGCACACTCAGCATGTGAGCCTTAGATTTGCCACCACTGCTCTAGACATACCGTAAGGATCATGTGGAGCACACAGTACCTTTAGTAGAGGGCTCCTGAGTTTCTTCCTGCTGCTTTGGTTTTTGGCCAAAGCACAGCTCAGTTTAGTCACTGGCCATCGTGTGATTATTTTAGTTTGACTCTGGCTGATCACAAAGCACTTTAGCATCAAGCTTGACCATGTGGGTTTGATTCCAGCAGCACTGGTTTTAACCATGCTGCTGCCATTTCAAAGCTTGGCCCTTTCTCACCTAAAATGGGGACAGCAAGATAACACCCATTTGCGGGAAAATGTCTGAGGAAGGAGTGACTCCTACAAGCACAGTGCTAAGTAAAGGCAGGCAGGCTGTCATCATCCCACATAAATGGACGTGAGGGTGACGCTTCTAGAACCTCTCTCACTCAACACAGGGTTTCACTTTATTACTGTTAGTATTACACATTACATATTTTCCTGGTCTTTCTTGCTTAGCCTATTAGTCTGTGTTCATGAAAGAATCTTAATAGTTTCTTTTGTAGCCTGTTACCAGTTTTCCTTGTTAGCAGTTACCAAAAAACATTTTAAAATACTTCAGATTTTTGCCAAATTAGAAGGCAACAGGATACTGGCCAGCTTTTGTGCTATCTTATTCTCCCCTTCATATTGATGCTTCACTATGCTTCACTATGCTTCACTGTTCTTTTCAAAAGAAGGGATATTCTTCCTGTTCTGAAAAGCTTCAGTATTAAATTTTCCAACTCAGGGAGGGCTGTGAAGGGACAGCAGAAAAAATGTCTTTTTCCTACCTGGCATCCCCAGCCCACCCTGATAACTGTCAGCCAGTAATATTGAAGCTGTCAACTTTGATGGAGGTGACTAAGTCTTTTAACCAGACTATATTTTTTAAAGGATAGAAATGGGCTATTGAAGTCCACAATTGGTTAACTGGCATGATTTTACAAAAAGCCTGCTTGAAGATGGATCAAGTTTACAGAGGTGTAGTTGATTATTTTGAATAATTAAATGGTGTCAAAACCAGCTGGGATGAATAGCACTGGAGTCTCCAATCATAAATAATTGAGAAAACAGATTTGCATTTGATCATCCTGATCAAATTCTGCCCTCCAGAGGATAAATGTTTGCCCTGAATACCATCAACATTATTAAATGCCTCAGTATTCCTGCTCAGCCATCCAGCTAACAGTCAATTGAACTAAATCCCTTTAACTCCACACGCATTCACTGTCCTCATGAATACAAAATGTTTGATTTAAACCTTATTCTTTGTAGTTGAGTGAGCATGTTTTGGGGGGCATCTCATAGCAGTATTAAATACTTGACGTTTTTATTCCATAAAATATATGATTTTTCAGAATAAATCAGAGGATCCTTTCCTTTCTTTTTATCACCATTACTTTTGTTCTCCCTGAAAACAAGAAGAACTAAGAAAAGATTTCAAATGAGTTGCCAATAGAATTTCCTTCCTGACGGCCTGTGGGGATTCCAAATCTGCACGGAGACAATGGATTCAGGTCCTATTTCTATTTCCCGTTTTTACTCTACAGGATAAGTGTACCTCTCAGATCCATGGTTCCTCCACGTTCCCCAAGTGCTTCACAGCTTCATTTGAGCCCCACACCCAATTATGTGACAAAGGTAGGCAGATTAGTTAGTATCATCATTTCCATGTTAAAGTAGCAATGAGACAGAGAAAAGAATCGATTTACCCACAAAACTAGAAGACAGCTGAGCTGCCATGAAAACTTGGCCTCCTCGGCGCAACTCTTGCTGCCAGAGCTGTGCCTTGTTAAGCGCCTCAGTGAAGAAAAGGGCAGTCTGTTTAATAGCTGCTCATTGACACCCTGTCACTGGTGAACTGGCACAGGACCCAGAGTTGGCAGGGTGATGCATGCCGCGCTCTACCTTGTTTCCTACAAACCGGTTTTTAAAATCTGAAAGCAGCATTAACCCCTGTTGTTCCTCCAAGGATTAATAATCATGAGAACAAGTATCAGTGATTTGTTTTTTTCTTAATAATTCACCTAGCACTGTCAAGTGTATCTATCACTTATTTTTCCAGTAGCTAATATCAGTACAGGTTTATAAAATGTGGAAAGTGAGGATCAGATACACAATGAATGAACTGGAGACTATCAAGGTCACTACTGGCAGTGCCGGCACTCAATTCTTCAGATGCCCATCAGCTGTCCCACACTACATTGCGTGCAGAGCAAAAATGACATGAGGCAGAAAGCTCTGTTATGACTGCTGATTCTAGTTACAAGACAGATGAAAAAAGCAGAAGATTCATACCTGTCCACTGGCCTTTTGTCTAGCACTAAGTCTTTTCTTCAATAGAAATATACTTCTGGGACAAGTACAACCAATTCTCTTTCACATGACAAAGACAATGCTTATGAAAGTCAGAAGAGAAAAGAAAAACAATCTCTGATTTACAATATTATTTTGTTATGCTTAGGATAAATGTGCTTTGAGTTTACTAAATTCCCCATGACATAAAAGTTCTGTTTCTACAACTTAATTTCTAGTCTTGAAACGTACCTCAAAGTCCTCGGAGAACCCATGCTGGTTATTAGAATATAGTTCACCGATGTGTTTAACAAACTGTTTGACAGGAATGGCTTCCATGTCATCTGAGGGAATAAAATGATTATTGGAGTCACAAACAATACTTCCAAAAGGCAAATGATCCCAACTAAATCATACTTACTCAAGACAAGAATTTGATTTTTGCGAAGAGTGATATATTCCCATTACTTAAAATAGATGTCCTAAAGAAGGCTCTAATGATTTATTTTACATTATGATTTCATTAGGATCTTGAATGCCTACAAGTTACATTAAACATCATTTTTTAAAAGGTACACAGAAAGTTTACTTTATATAATTTACAGTGTATTACTTTGTATAATTTACAAAATTGCTACATCATATACTTCACTAAAAGTCTGAATTTATCAGTGGTACTTATTCTCCATGAAATGTCACCAATTTTTAAAAAATTGCTCTCAGTGAGGTCTCGCTTAAACTTGAATCAATTAAGTTATACTTTCTATCTTTTAAGTTTCCACATTCATTTGTACACAAATGTCCTTGTACCAGGTGGCTCTGGCTATGGTGCCATCTATCTTAGGAGTATTCAGCTACTTCAAGACAGCTGTGCCTACATGATGCCAACAATCAGTTCGATTGACTTAACTGAGGACTTTTTCTTTTGGTGTTGACAGATTACGTATAGACCAATTTGTTGTAATGGTGTCACATCCAAAGGCAATTTCCAGCTCAGGATTCTAACATGTGTTATTTATTGATGGAGCCCAGTCTGATCCTGGAGCACTTCTACAGAACAGCCACACCCACCTCACTGGAGTGTCCCGGTCTTGCCTCCCTCTCCCTTAATCTTCCACACAAGTATTTCCTTTTTAAAATACTCTGCTGGATTAGAGAGAAACAACAGACATGACATTTACTTTATTCAGAGTGAAAGATCTTTGGCAAATGCACAGATATCTAAACTGCCGCAGATGCTTCTCTTAGCAAAGGGTATGAAGATCTGTATGTGTAAATGAGGTCCTACTTTGGCAAGAATTTTACAGATCCAGACCTCACAATTTGATTTGTCTTCATCTGGTGACAGTTATCATTGACTATGTCATTCCTTCTGTACTTTCATTCTAGAGAGCATGGTTCTAGGGTGGCTTTTTGCATCTATTGACATTTTCAAACTTGAAATATTCTTAGGTGTAAAACAGCATCTCTTACAGTTTAAGAAAAATGATTTATATGTGCATGATCCAAGTTGCTTAGGATAGAAATACTACTTATTACATAGGTGATACTCTGGATTTTCTGTGTGAACAGTTCAATTCCTAATAATTTTAAAAGGCAACCTTACAAAAAAAAAAAAAAAAAAAACAACTGCCAAGATATTTACAAATATTCCAGGATTGAAGATGTTCATGAATATGCAATCATTTTTATGCTCAAGAAATCTATAGCTTCCATGATGTAACCAGAATTAACAAGCTAAGCAGAGCCAAAAATATTTCCCCAAGAATACTTAGCAGAATTCACAGCTCAAGAAAAATTACAAAATTTATCTAATCAGTTCAATTAAAATATTTAGCACTAAGACAATACTGCAATAATAAATGAGTGGGAATGGAAGCTTAAATTTAGCTGATGATTCTCTAAAAGAATGAGAAGTCTCTAAAAGATTAGTACAAAGATAATCTTTAGACATGATACTTGGGGCACATCTAAGACCATCCACACCCTAGAGCAGTGGTGGTAAACCATTTAGAACTTTCAGTGATACCAGACTGCTGCTAGATGCATACCAGAAGTTCCTAACCACTGACTGACCTACAGGATACAGACCACAGCAATCTCTATATTCAGAAAGAAAGGATGAGTCACATTCCAAAGGCAGAATGACACAGTGGTATAGCAAAGAGAGGACCACATTTATTCTAAAGGGATGCGTTAGAATTTATCATTCCTAATAAATGGATGATGCCATAACTAATGACATGGACTCCAGCTCAATGTAGTGAGCCTTATGTATTTTGCCACATAACACAAGGATTTTAATGATTCATGGCATTATAAAGGTTGGTGGCCACTTAAAATCATTGAAGCAAATGTTTTCAGACTCAGTTTTATTTTTTTTCCTACAAAGTGCTCTAGTATTAAGATCCAAGTTAATGTCACATGCCTAATCAGTCTGTCTGCGCGACTAGATGCAGCTAAGTTCCAGCACAGCTCAGTAGGATACTCATGGAAATACATGGTCTAGCCATATCCTCTGGGTTTCCAGATACTTCCAATAACATTGGGCAAAAACCAGACAGACAGCTTCACATACAGATGTATGCTGTGCTGCCCCTGCTTCAGCTACCCAGATAACACACCCTCTGTCTTTCACACAACATAAAAGCTGAGGTCATAAATCTTTTTTCGTCTATATCATGATGAATATAGTAACTAATCAGAAGTCCAGTAGTTCTCATCTCATACAGCTTTTCCATTAAGTTGTCTCAACCTGAGCCAGATGATTATAACATTAATGTAACCAACAGAAGGCTAAGCAATTTAGAGTAGCATCACTGGCTTGGTCTGCTGACTTTTTATCTGGAAAAATCCTCTCTATAGGAAGAAAGTGTCCAGCTAGAAGGTATTTTTTTCAACTAAATGTCTGAGTTTCATCAGAGATTGGAGAACATTAGCATGATTAGTGGCCGATGCTTTATGTACTTATATGACTTAGATGAAACAACAGCATTGATTGGTGAGAGGGAGAAACATCCAAAGAAGAAAGATGGCCTGAATCAACGAAAACAGGTTTTTACCAACCACAGGCTTGGTAGGAGACTGTTACAGTCTATGAAAGAACTGTGTAAAGACACACTTGGTAAAATGAGAACATAGCTACTATTTGTTGAGCTCCAACTGGTTTCCAGATATCCCGGTAGTGCTTTATTTTTCCCCATATATTTATCTTTACAAGCACCAAGTGAAGGGATTCTAAGCATCACATAAGGAGACTTGAGAAAATTAACTAGTAGAGCTGAGATTTCAAGCCAGGTCTCCTCAACCCAAAGCTCTTGATCCTTCCTATCAGTGGTGATTTTGTCTTCCTTCTCAAAGCAATGTGAAGGAACATCAAAGCATTAGACAGAATATCTTGTTTCATCTGATAAAACATCATGTATAATTCTGTGCCAGTATTATAATTTATAGAGTTTACAGATAACAAGCAGGGGCTCCTACTCATTATCTCAATCACTGTATTGTAATATATTTCAGGTATTCAATGGAGAATCAGTCTCTGAAGAGTATGATTATTTTTACTAAATATTCTGTAGGCTTATTTCCAAGATTTTAGCTCTTTGCACTCAGAATTCAACTGTAAATAAGCAACCTTTTACTGGTGTCAGTCTACAACAAAAACCTTCTTATATTAGTCTCTGGCTTTTAGGGACCAAAAACAGCATTAAATAGTGTGAGCTGGTTGTGTGTGTAATCCCAGCACTCTGGGTGAGGCAGGAGGATTGCAAATTCAAGCCCAATCTGAGCAATTCAGTGAGACTGTCTCAAAAACTAGAAGGGGCTGGAGAGGCAGTACAGTGGTAGAGTACCACTCTACAAGCATCATAAAGAAAAAAAGTAGGTGAATTGAAGACAGCAACTGCTGAGAAGAAAGTACCAAGCCTGAGATAGCTGGCCTTCCATACAACACTGCTAGAAATAGAGACCAATGCATTTAAATACAAAGAAAAGCTGTTTCCAAAATCTATTGATAGGTCTCTGTTGTACTAGCATCTTCAGAACTTTTAAAGGCAAATCACTAATACGTCAGCCTTTTCTAAGCAATTCATGTAATATACTATATTTGATTTTGCTTAATCTTAAGGAAAATTGGATATGCAAACAAAGAGAAAAGGTTAAATTTTCTGTTTACAAAACGTGCCTTGATATCAGGAAGGAAAACTCAGCAGCTAACGCTATCCCTGAACTTACAGCACAGGGAGGGACAGCATGGGGGGCCAAGACCCTGCCCACTGCACCAAAGACGGCCACCAATCTGTCCCTCAGTCAGCCTGTGGCAGTGGGGTGGGTAGAATAGCCAAAGCCAAGCTGCCTGCAGTATCCTGCCTCTCCAGGATTCCCTTCCCTCATTTTGAACTGGAGTAATAACATCAATTCTTAGTTGCTATGGAAAGTAAACACGGAAAGTACTGTTGGAAGAATATGTTGCATTTAGTGAATATTTAATAATTATGAGTCGCGTTAGGTGGCACTTTTTTTTTTTGGTCTCTAGTTCTTTTTAATTATTTCCAAAAAAAATACAATAAAAACAATGTCACAGAATTTCAAAAAAAGATGATTGGAAACTAACAATGGTTATTGTATTGAATATTTTCATCTTCAAAGTAGTTGCTTAGATTACAGTATGTAGGCTTGCAAAGTTGATCAAACACTATAAACACAAACTATTACTTGCAACGAACTAATAGAAATTAGTAGCATAGTTATCATAGCTAGCTTGTGTGTTTACATATTTTTCTTTTTCTTTCCGTTTCCTTCTTTTTCCAATCCATCATCCAAGTTGTTCTCTCCTTTTGAGCAGTTTCTTTTCCTTTACCAGTATCGTATGTTTTGGGTCTTATATGTTCTTTCACTTTATTACACTAGGGAGACAATATGATGCTTACATATGCAAGTCTGATTTATTTCACTTATGAGTATGGTCTCTGGTTGCATCCATTTACCTATAAAAGCCTTGAATTTATCCTTCTTCACATCTGAGGGCACTTGCTTTTTATGCCTGACTCCATAATCTGGAGGCTGTATTTCCTTCTATTTCATAGATAGGAAACTGGCTCAGAGATACCCGAGAGCCCACTGATGTCCAGAGACCGAGCCAGGCTGATTCAGAGCCTGGATTCTCCTCTATGACAGTTCCCTCGTAGGCCTCAGAACAAAAAGGGTTGAAATGATATGCTCTGCTTTAGCAGTAAGTTTCAGTTCCCTGGAAAAATCACTGTGGCAGGCTGGTCATCTTGATAATGGCAGAAAAATAAAGGTGCTACACGTTGAGTTCATTGGCTTCTGGGCTGTTAAGGAAAAG